TGTGTCATTGCATAACATACTTTATTGATGAGTCTTCCTTCAATCCTAATGCCACATTCTTCTTCACAGAGTCCAATTTCTTGAATAATTTGCTCGGCATACCAATTGAATGAATATGGCCCTGATGCATACCTTTCTGGATTTCAAACCATGTAGTGTTCCCTCACTCTGTTTGCATGACAGCCTCTTGGTCTAGATATAGATTTTGCATGAGTTCTGTAAAGTGTTTGGAGATTCTCATTCTTCTGAACGTTAGCCATATTTTGCTATGATCCAGTCAAAGGCCTTTGCATTGTGTATAAAGTGCAAATAAACTTTCATTTGATATTCTTTTAATATTTCTCATAGTAAAATAGAAAAACTATCACAAATGTGCTCTTCATCTGCTGTGCCTTGAAGGGCCTCTGTGGCTTCCACTTCTACCTGTCCTACTTTGAGAAGTGAGTGTTGGCAGCACACCCAGGCCAAGGTGTTGGTGGGGACGTAGCCTACCTCCCCTCATTCATTAGGACACCCTTCAGACTCTCACCTAGAAAGAAAGACCCAGCCATCTCAGGGAGATTGCTCAGGAAGTTGGGCATGTGTGGATCTGGTCCCCCACTGGGCCTAGAACATTACCTCTATTAGTCCCTGACCTAGGGACTGCTGGGTCGGCTTTACTTTGTGCTAATAAAAGAGAGGCTGATTGGTTTTTTTTGTTTGTTTGTTTTTTAAGGTGTGCCAATATTTAGAGTACTTTACTGAGATCCCAAGATTAGAAACCATAGATGCACCTCCAAAGGTGAATTGTTAAACAGTAACCATAAGTGAAGTAGTTTAGTGATAAGAAATACAAGTTATGGATTAATAAAAAACTGGTTGACTGAAATGTCTTTTGATAAGTGAAATAGATCAGACCAAGAAAGTGCATATTATATGAAAAAACATTCATAAGACACTATGAAAAAAGACAATCGTAGAGATGCAAGAACTTGTTGTCAGGAGGAGGGGGAAAGTAAAGTCATTGTCTACCAAAGTAGCATGTAAGGGTATTTTGGTGGTTAGTGTTGTTAGGTGCTGGCGAGTCTGTATGATTCCTAGCTACCCCGTGAACAGCCAACCTGAATCCTACCCTATCTTGTGCCTTGTTTTTGTTGTGCGCTGTCGAGTCAGAACTGACTCATAGCTGGCCCTCCAGTGGATTTTCAGGGGCAGTTTAATTGCATGGGAGGAGATTGTCCATCCTTCTCCCAGGGAGCAAATGGTGGCTTTGAATCTCATGCAGCTCAGCTTCTTACCGCTATGCCACCAGAGCTCCCTATATGGGTTGGTACACATATATTTTCCAGTTCTGTCTCTTTAGAGATCTACCTAAGAAGTGACACTCAGGAACAATGAAAATACACAGCACTCAGGTATTGCTTCCTCAATGTCACTATTGAATGGTCCATGAATGACAAAAAGAACAGACAAATAGCTCTTGGGAGAAGTGCAGCCTTCCAAGACTCCTCAGAAGTGAAGAACGTGAGACTTTGTTTCACAAGCTTTGGGCATGCTGTTCCAGGAGGGCCAGTCCCTGGAGAAACACATCATGCTCGGTAAAATAGAGTATGTGTTTAAGACCGGCTATGAAATTGACTGACCTAGACGTTTCAGCAGTGGGTGTAAGCACAGTGGTTATTTTAAGAATGGTCCAGGACCAGGCAATTAAATTGCTTTAAGCTGGAGTTGATGCAACTGCCTCTCACACCAGCAGCAATAACAGAAAGCAAGGCTCTTTGGAGTAGGAGTAACTGAACATAAAAATGAGTCGGGATCGTCCTCCAGTTCAAAGAAGTAAAAACAAACTAAAAAAAGTGACACAGGAGTCGAACTGAAAGTTCTCCCAATGACGAAATATGGAAGAAGTTGAGCAATGAAATAACTAACACAGTATTGAAGTATAGTCCAGAATATAAAGCTCATATATTAAATATAAATAAATAAAAAGAACCAAATCTTTCTTACATATTCTAAATAATTTAGACTCCCACACTATCAAGGACACTGCAGCCTGGTCCACTTTAATGGGCTGAACTGTGGCTTACTTCCAAAGAATACAGTATAGAGAGGGAGGAAATAAAGTAACTTTGTAATGGAGGACCTGACATAAATACCCTAGCCAAAGGATCACGGTTAACCTTTTCAGGAAGAAGTAATGTTACTTAATGTATCTCCTAAAGCAGAGATTATCAAGTAGTGATATGGCAATATTGTTATCTTAGTTTTAACAAATATAACAAAGGGAAATGTTAATAGAAGAAATAAAACACATCACTCTCTGTAATATCACAATAAATGTTCTAGATATGTAAAATGATTTCAAAATAAAAAAAATTTAAAATATTAACTAATATGGCTCCAAAGAGAAGTACCTCCAATTTCAAGACTTTAGAGCCAAAAGTGTTTCTGTTTAATACACTGTCTCCACTACTATCAGCATTACCATCATAGGACAACCATGCATAATTTTACAATTTTGAGAAGCTGAATGTCTCTAAGTTTATAAAGATTATGGAAAGTCAGAGTATAGCTTGCCACCTTTCACTTGAGCCATTAATAAAACTTGTGCTTAGATGTTAAGGTCTAGTTTTTTGCATGGGATGTGAGGACAGACTGACTTATTTTCTGGCATCAAGATCTAAAACATATCCTATAGTAATTGGTGATGTGATCAGCACATGAATCCTTTCTTGTTTTGAGCACATGTCAACATTCTCAGGGACTATTACCTAGGTATGTGTATTATGATATCTGGTCAACCTACCTGCTATCTATGTCCATGGTGCTAGGGAGTGGGGAGAGAGAGAGAAAGAGAATGAATGTGTGGGAGCCTTCCTCTTGCAGCCCAGGAGAGATGTGTTGTGAACATTTACTTGTATTAGTTACAGTATAAGGCTTGCTGGAAATGAGGGACCAATACTCGCTACTGAAGTGTGTCTTGTTCTGCGTCTTCTTTATAAGAGGTACACGTTGTAGCATCCATTCTTGTGTGAGCCATGTCTTTTTATAAGTGACCTGCAAACTATGAAGTGGGTGACTATCCTCTATGTGATAGAATTCCTTTTCTGGAGGTGAAACAGTTAGCATTTGTTTGACAAAGACAGAAAAAAAGGCAGCATGGGTCCAAAGTCCTTTGGATAGTTTTATTATTAGAATAGAGCATATCTGAGGAGTAAAATAAGATGCATATTTATTACATATGAAATTAGTACACCGAGATTGTGTTTAGCTGCTAAGAATTATCAATTTACATATTTAGGTACATTGGAGTTAAACAAAATGTCAGCATAAATGAAGGCATTTTAGAAGTCAGTCAAATAAATAGTAAATGTCATATTGTGTAATACTTTACTTTTTATGATTTACTGCATAGAATTAATTGAATCTACTTTTTAGTTAATGAAGTATAATTCCTGATGGGGAAAAAAGATACTTTAACATGATCTGATTAATCGTATGGTTCTCAAGAAATATTGTGGTCCAAAAGTACAAATTTCAAAAACTAAGAATGTAGATTAAGAAGAAAGAAACCATAAATGGCTCATTAAATTATCTACAGTTATTTGCTAAAGAAACACATTGCAATGAATTATAAAAATAATTGTTTCAACTGTATTGACTCAAAGACTCATTGCCATCAAGTTGAAACCAACACATAGCTGACCCTTTCCAGAGGCTGTCCATTGCAAGGGAGGAGATTTCTATGTTTATCTCACAGACCAGCAATTGGAAGATTCAAACCTTCTGTTTTTAGGTTGGCGAAGCAATTCTCTATGCATTAAGCCACCAGAGCTCACAAGTGTATTGATTATTGGTTCCAAAGCTTAACCAACTTATTCATTCATTAGCTTCACAATAATTTATTGAGATGTTGACATGAACTGAGTCATATGGATGATAATGTTATTAGTAAAGCAGAAAGTCACTACATTTATGACGTGTACATTCTAGTTGTGGGAGATATGGAGACATAAAAGTAATAATAATAATTAAGACTATAAAGAAAATGTTAAGGGGATGGTGTCCATCTTGAGTGCATTGATTCTAATATAGTAACATTTAAGGAGAGACCCAAAGGAGTAGTGGACCTGAGGGAAAGATCAAAGCAGAGGAGTTAGCAGATAAAAAATGCCCTTAAGCCGTAACATACAGGTTCCAGGAATAACAAGGGAATCCAAATGAATGGAGTGACTGAGCAAGAGTAATATAAAAGGATGAAGCTTCACCAAAACAAAAGCATCCATTGGTACTAAAATACTCTTATTATTCATCTCATTTTCTTGTATACCAGTTCTTCTTTTTGGAAATCATATGATCATACTATTTCTACTAAATGATTTTATCAAAACTAAAAATTAGTCCTGGCAAAGAATTATGTATATCTGGATCAACAAAACCAAGCAAAACGTAAATATCTTTAATAAAATACAACCTTTTGGGTTTTGGCATAAACAAAAAAATCTCTATCACCTTTTCTCTAACTCTTGGAAGTTTTTAACTAGAGATGACATATGAGTTTGTATTCTGATTCTTCAATTGATTATTTTTCTTTCTTTGATCAAAATGAGTGCCATTCCAATCACCTAATTTAAAAATAAAAATTCTACTCCTCCATGTAAGTTCACACAGAGGATTTCTGTGTACCCAGGTGTACAGACGTATGGCAGAGATCACGTGGATAAATTAAATATCATTAAAATAGTCTTAGAAGGGCAAAACCTAAATATCCTTAAGTTCCCATTGAATTCTTCTTCTTTTCTGGTACGTTTCTGCACTTGATCTTAGCCAAAAGGCCGAGAAGCGATTCTGGTACATTTCTGGACACAAGGGTTTCCTTTTCCCCTAGACTATTGATTTCGAGCAGATAAATATATAACCTTAGAAATTACATGCATTTGAATTGTTGAAGTGTGAGCCATTGCCCCAAGAATATTTGAAGAAAGAAATACATTGCTGTTCATTCTACACTATTAAGGAGTTTAGCACAGAGACAATCTGACTTTCTCAATAACCTTCTTGAATGCATTCTTAACATCCTTGTTCCTCAGGCTGTAGACCAGAGGGTTGAGCATGGGGATGACCATAGTATAGAACACTGATGCCATTTTGGCCGTGTCCATGGAGTGGCTGGAGCTGGGCTGTAGGTACATGAAGATGACTGTCCCGTAGAAGATGGAGACCGCAATGAAGTGAGAACCACAAGTAGATAAAGCTTTCCAGTATCCTTCAGCTGAGTGCATCTTTAGAATAGTGATAAATATGAACAGGTAAGATATAAAGATAATAGTAAGAGACAAAAAGATACTGAAACTTGCAGCATAAACAAGAGCCATCTCAGCAACATGCCTGTCAGAACAAGAGAGCACCATGACGGCTGGCACATCACAGAAAAAGTGATGGACCACGTTGGACCTACAAAAGATGAGACTGAACGTGTCCCCGGTGTGGATGCAGCCATTCAGGAAACCACCAGCATAGCAACTTGCAGCCATACATGCACACACACTGGCTGTCATGGTGGTGGTGTAGTGGAGGGGTTTGCACACTGCTGCATAGCGGTCATAAGCCATTGCAGCCAAGAGGAAATTTTCAATAGTGACAAATACTGCAAAAAAGAACATCTGAGTAGCACATGCATTGTATGAGATGATGTTTTCTCTGATGAGGAGCCCAGACAATACTGTGGGGGTGACAGCTGAAGAGTAACAAAGGTCCACCAGAGACAGATTGCAAAGAAAAAAGTACATAGGTGTATGGAGACGGAAGTCCAACAAGATCAGTGTGATCATGCCTATGTTCCCAAACACATTGATGAGATAAATGAGAATGAAAATTAGAAAGAAGGGAATCTGCAACTGTGGATTATCTGTTAGTCCTAGCAGGATGAACTGAGTCACTTTGGTTCTGTTCTCCATTGATGTTATTTGAGAATCAAGAGATGCCCTGTGCCAATGAGGAATAAAAGAACAGAGTGTTAAAGGGAACAGAAGTTGTAGTGAAATGGAACGGTTTCGATATTGCGTGCACTAGTTCATTACGGCAATAATTTGTATTTCATGAGTTTTTATATAAAGCATGAGCTTGACTATGGCATAACTCAGTGCATGAATTATCTACACAGTTGCCACTTATTAAAACTGGAGGATATACACAAGACATCTGCTCTCTTTTAAATTTCCAATAGAAGACAATATAATAACAAGACAAAGATAATATCTTGGAATGACATGAGCTTGCAATTCTGCTTTCCTAAGACCAATGAAAATTTTTATCTCACTTAAGTGCTCACTTTATATGCCTGGTCACATATTCCTTTCAACAACAATTTGAGGTTAATTAGATCATATCTCCACTTGACTTATGAGGCATAAACGTGTGAGCAATTTAGCCAAGTTTACAGAAATATTAACCAGCAAGGCTCCCCTTAGCATCCAAATACAAGTATTCTCAATATAATTAAGTGACATAAAATTGAATTTAAGTCAACTTAAGATTACTCATTGGCTCCATTAATCCAAACTTTGGGAAACCATAAAGTAATAAACCATAAAGTAAAGTAATGGATATATATCTCTTTCCTAATAAGCCTCCAGAACTCTCTGTAGATACACACATGCACGCACACACATGCACACTATGGTGGAGTAACCAAAGTAATATGAACACGTACAACCAAAAAGTCTTCTGAAAACATTGCATTGGTGATAGACTTTTGGTAATATGTAAAATTTTTTTTTAAGTGCATATCTATTCAGTGCCAACTTTATCATTTACTGCATAGCATTCATTGATCTTAATCTAATTTCTTAGAACTCCATTTCTTCCAGCCACAAAATAAATACGGCATTTTATCTACATCAAGGTATTACTCAGATGAATCAAAGTAATGTATAAAAGGAAAAGAGTTAAATAGGATGTTTAGCATAACCTAAACAGTGCTGCTAATGTGCTTTTATTTAGTCCTTCAGACTTTTGCTGATGTTGTGTGAAACAGAGCAAATGTCCCCTGGTCCTGCAAAAACCTCACCGCAGTAGATATGCTGTTGTCCATTGTTCCAGCCTCTGTGCCAATCCACCTCGTTGGGTTTCTCCCTCTCTTTTGAACCCTGCCTTTTACTGATTATGAATATTTCTTGGGCAATCATTTCTTTTGTATGACAGGTCAAATGTAAGTGAGATGCAGTCTGTTCATTCCCATATCTAGTAATCATTCTCACTGTACTTCTTCCAAGGCAGATTTGCTTGTTCTTTTTGTAGTCGAAGTGTACATTATAGTACACAGTGCACTATAATTCAAATGTATCAGTTCTTTGATTTCCCTTTTAGAATTCCTGTCTTAATTTCACATGCACCACGTGAGTGAGAGTATTGAGGCTTAAGTTAGGTGCACCTTAGTCATCAAAGTTATACTTTGCTTTTAAAGACTTTAATGAGATCTTTTGCAGCACATTCTCCTAATGCAATACATCAATTAGTATTAGAGTTAGGCATAATCTTCGTTATAGCATTAGGATGTAATTATGACTTCTGTTGATATTGCAAATGATGGATGATGAAATACAAGGCTGCAAAATGTATGTGAGTTTTAACATCTGGTAGACTCACTGGTCCACTTGCCTTTCCTCACTCAGCGAATTAATGTGGGGGTCTATTGTCTCTAATGTTTTTTATTGCCTCTAGGCCACAAAGGACTCTGGCACTATTCTAGGTACGTTATTCTTTTATTTCTATGCTAAACTCTCTATTTTAGTATGTATTAAAAGAATCTCAATTTTTGAAACTCATTATTTCTCTTATTATTGCCATCCCATAGCTAGTTCAGAGATCATGGTTGAAAGCTCATAGATTATGTGTACATTTTACCTAAATACCTGTTTTTCCATCAAAAATCATGTTTTCAAGAAGTTATTTGTTTCTATTCCTATGAAGACACAATATTTAGCATCTTTTACCTAATTTTGAAGTCTTTGAATAGTCTCTACTACCTACTACTCTTTATTATCTTCCCCGTAATTGTCCTCAGATTCACTTCAAAATCGTGACTCCCATAGGCCTTATGATGGCTAACTTAACTCTTAACCGCTTTAAGCATTCATTCTGTTCAACAACCAATGATAACATGTGTATTTGGACACATACATTTTTGTATTACATTTCACAATAACTTTGAAAAGTATGTAATGTTATTTATTCCCATTTTACTATTAAGAGTTCAAGAAGTTATGCCATCCTCTGCACACAGCCAGGGGGAGGAAGACTTAAGATTCAAGGTTCAAACCCAGTTCTAACCAAATAAAAAGCCTGTGCTATGTAGCCTCCTTAGTGCCTGTATTTTTATATGTATCAGTGATAATAAGGTTGAGATTATGGAGTAAAAGTTAATGGATCATGGATCTTACTCGTCAGTTGTGATTGTAACTGTGAGGTGCCATTAAATCAGTTCCCTATGTTCAGTAGAAGGAACCACTCTCCATTCCTGCACTCCTCTCAATTGTTGTGTCGTAGCTACTATGCCATTTAATCCCCTCATTGATGGCCTTGACCTTTGCATCTGACCGTCTACTTTATCCAGTATGATGTCTTTCTCTAGGAATTGGCCCGCTCTGATAACATGCTCAAAGTATATGAAATTCCATCATCCTTGCTTCTAAGGAATAGTCTGGAAGCACTTTGTCCAGCACAGATTTGTTAATTTTTGTGAAAGTTCATGGTGTATTTTACAGTCTTCACAAACACAAGAACTCAAAATCAATTTTTCTTTATCCGGTTAGAACGTTTGTATTGCTTCAAACAGTGCCATTTTACAATTTCCTGTTTCACTCCTCTTTTACTTTCTTTTTAATCTTCTGCTAGAGAAATTTCCCTTTAATTTGGAGGCCAACACGTATAGTGAACAAGTTTGAAATTACTACCTACTCATTCAGAGCATAATTTACTCAGTTATAATCCCCTTCACCCCATCTTGTTTTGAGAACATGCTGTTTATAAGTATCTCTTAACTCTACACTGAAGGCAGTTTTGACATTTGTATCTCAGGCTTGTCTCCCTGGCTTAGAAAAGTGAGATCAAATAACATAACGCCTGCTGCTTTGGCATGATTTACACTATTCATTAACATTGTATAAAAATGTAAAAAGCTTACCTTGATTCCTGTTAAAAAGAGAAATGCAATTCTAGATTGTAAGTTTGAAATCAGAAATTCAGCCATGAGATAATGCACTGATATTATTAGAGAAAATCTATCTCTTAGGTATGGGTATAAAATTCCAAGCTCTTTAACGCAGGGAAAAGTGAAGTAAAGAATATTAGCATGCAGTCCTGAAACCAGGCTTGAAGTCCTGCCTCTACCAGGCATTCTGTCTCTGCTTTTGGAGAGGTCACTTACCTCCCTGTTAATTGTAAGATAAACACAATAAAATGCCACCTTACACATAACTCACAGGCTTATGGTTGTGAAGAACAAATATATGTCATTTCTGGCTGGGTTAAAGCATATGAGGACCACTCTACTTATCTTTTCTCTTGCCGCAGGGACTGAAAAGACAGCTGACTTCAGCAAGTGCAGGTAATTATTCTACAGAAACATTCAATATCCTGTAACTTTGAACAACAATGCTCTGTGAGGTCTACCTTCCTCAGACAGTTAATGTGATGTACATAGAGTAGCACAAATTAAAAAAAAAAGTGCCATGGGCTCAACAAAGTCCTCCAAAAAGAACAATTCTATCTCGTCTTTGGAACTTTGCAAATACTAACTCCTGTGATAAAGACTTTGCCAATTTAGTTAAAATCTAGAGATGAGATTACCCTTGACAATACAAAATAATTCATGAAGGAGATATGTTTACATCATTAAATATATATATATATATATTTCCATTTTGAGGTATTTCCCTGAGAATTGTTGAAATCTCACTGAAAATGCTCAGTTTGGAGAATGGCTCCATGTTTGCTAACAAGTGTTAGCATTTAATTCAAATAAATGATTACCAAAGGGGTTCTGTATACAGTCTGCTCCCTCCAACTGATGGTACTTGGAGTGATTTTATGATTTCAGATGTTAATGCATGGAAATAAGGATGAAGCTTTAAAGACACAAAGCTCTCAGGGGATGGCCTGTAGTTTCTCATCTTAATTTTCTGGGGAAGAAGCAATTATATTTCCCATGGGACCTAGTTGGATATGCAGTATGTACACATGTTTGTTCATTACTTGTCATTTCTTCTCCCTCATAACTTTTCTTACTACGTGTATTTCCATGCTGTCATAGTTAGAATTTAGGGTATGTAATTCTAAGACTTTGTCATACGCCTATGAGTATGTAATCTTCATGAAAATAAAAATATAGAATAATTTAGTCAACTAAACAAATGCCCTTGAGTTTCTTGGTTGAAACCTTCTTAAAACCAGTACTCCTAGTGACTACTAAACTTGTATTATTTTCATATGGTTTTCCCAATAACCCAATCTGTTTATAGCACTCTGATATGTAGAGTACTATTTAGGGAACTCGGACAGTGCAGTAATTGAGTGCTAGTCTGTTAAAGGAGAGATTAGCATTCAAACCCACTAGCCACTCTATGGCAAAGACATAGCAATTTGCTTCTGTAAAGATTACAACTGTGGATGCTCTCGGGGTACTTCTACTCTGGACTGTAGGATCATCATGAATCAGAACTGGCACGATGGCAGTGAGTTTTATTTAATTCACTTAGCACAATGTGTTAAAAATCTATCCATTGGGTTACTTGTGTCAGTGATGGAATTTTTTTTTATTGCTAGTTTGGATATAATTATTGCACAATATTTGTCACTTATCTATTCCTTTGTCTTGGTTGCAGGCTTACTGATTGCAGTTACACAACAATCATTGGAAATATTTAACTGAATATCATCCCACCCCAATCCTGTAAAAAAA